ACTTGCTTGAAAACATGGACCCAGACACTGATTGCTTTGCTACAGTCAACAGGCAGATTCGGGAAGCAGTGAGATGTTACCACGAAATATATGAAGAAAAAAAGAAAAGGACCATACAGACAACTCTCACTAATTTTCTGACTAGAAATGCCATGCCCCTTCCACAAGTGGAGTTATTACCGCAACTGACAAAACGCCAACATTGTCCAACTCTTCTTCATCCTTGGAGTAAATTTTTATGCTTTGTATATTTCTTTATGTATGTATTAAAACATATCTGTCAGTTTATGTGTAATACTTCCAACCCCGAAAGACAAATAAAGATTGGATTTATAAAGACACTGATACTAAAAGCAATAATAATGATAACTGAAAAAAAAAATGAGGTATTTGACTTGCATCAGAACCGACTTATGACAGTCATCGGAAAGGAACCCTGTTGTAAGTCGAGGACTACATGTACTTGAAGTTTCTTGTAGACAGCATAAACCTAGGTCAAGTTTTTTAAAATCCATTCTCACAATCTGTCTTTTAATTGATGTATTAAGACCAATTACATTTAATATTGATATGTTTATAAAGTAGTCCCTGACTTACAATGTATTCAAGCTATGACGAACCGCACTTATGACTGTCTACTTTTTTTGTACATCTTATCATAGGTAATATGTACTACATACAATGCTGCAGTGCTTAATCTGCTGATGTTATCAGATGTTCACTCACAGATGTTCAAAGATTCAATTTATAAAGATGCTGATAATAAAGGGCAATAATAATGAAAACTAAAAAAAAGAGGTATTTAACTTACGCTAGAACTGACCTATGATGCAGTCATTGAAACAGAACCCTGTCATAAGTCAGAGCTACCTGTATTTAGACCTACCACTTTATTGTTTTTGATCCTTTGTTTCTCCTTTCTTGCTTTCTTTTAGGTTATTTGAATACTTTTTTAGTATTTTATCTTAGTTTATCTATTGTGGTTTTGACTATCTCTCTGTCAAAGTCTTGTTGTGGTTGTTCTAGGAATTACAAAATACATCCTTAACTTTACAGAGTCTACCCAGAATCAGTATTTTGCCACGTCAATTGGAATATAGAAACCTTACCAACATACAGGTCTCTTTACGCACTCCCCATACCATAGATTTGTTATATATCACATCTATATACATTGAAAATCCCAACAGACACTGTTATAATTTTTTTCTTACAACTATCAAACCAGGTTTTAAAGAACTCAAACAGTCTACTGTATTTATCCCAATATTTACCATTTCTGTTGCTCTTCCTTCAAGTCAAGTTCCTTGTTTCCTTCTGGTATCATTTCTCTTCTGTCTGTAGATCTTCCTTTAGCAATTCTTTTAGAGCAGGTATAGTGGCTATAAATTCTCTTAGCTGTCTTTATCTGAGAACGGCTTTATTTCAGTTTCGTTCCTGAAGGATATCTTTCCTGAATACGCAATTGTGGGTTGACAGTTCTTTCAACACTAGAAAAATGCTGTGCCACTTCCTTCTGGACGCCATGGTTTCTGATGAGAAATCTTCAGTCATTTGAATCACTTTCCCACTGGGTAATGCATCATTTTTCTTTGGCTGCTTTCACAATTTTTTCCTTGTTTTTGGTTTTCAGCAGTTTGATTATGATGTGTCCGGGCATGGATTTCTTTGAGTTTAACCTTTCAGAGGTTCATGCAACTTCTTGAACCTGTAGGTTTATGTCTTTTGTCAAACTTGAGAAGGTTTTAGCATTATTTCTTCAAACATGTTTCGGCACTGCCCGCTTTCTCCCCTTTCTGTCTGGGACTCTGATGAAACAAATGTTAGACCTTTTGTTATTGTTCCACAGGTTCTTGAGGCTCTGTTCATTTTTTTTCCCTATGTTCAAACTGGACAATTCCAGTTATCTTAATTTTCAGTTTTAAAATTTTCATTTGTTTCTTCTTTGTATCATCTGTTTCTTTGCTGACATTTTCTATTTTAACATTTCATTCAAAAATGTTTGTGACTATTTATTCAAACATTTTTATAATAGATGCTTTTAAAGTCTGTCAGATAATTCCAACATCTACATTATCTTGTCATGGCATGTGTTGACTCTCTTTTTCCACATAAGTTGACATTTTCATCTGTTGGGTAATTTTGGATTATATTCTGAACATTTTGAATATCATGAGACTCTAGGTCTTGTTTAAATCCAACAGTGAATGTTGCTATTTTTGCTTTAAGCAGGAAATCTACCTGGTTAGGTTCTGGCCGCAAGTTGCAACCTGCCTTCTCTGGGCTGTGGTTCCAATGTCAGTTCAGTTTCAATGCCTCTGCAGTACGAATTTTGATCTGAAACATGTGTGTGCCACTCAGGGGTCAATCTGGAACATGGGTGGTGGTCACTTCTCAAAGACCTTTTTTATCTGCTAATTAGGAGCAGATCCATACATGCACAGGTTGGAGGTGAGCCCAGAAGTTCATAAACAACTTTATGGGGTTGCTTTCCCAAGCTTTCCATGATCTCCCTGATACTTTTCACTCTCTGGGACTCCCCTTTTTGAATCTCTGGCCAGAAATCACCCACCTCCATAACTGTGCCAAGCATGGCCAAGCAGCAGGAGGATAAAGGGAGAAAGAAAATAACCAATGGTTTTGGCTCTGTGCTCTTAGAGTCAAACGTCCACCCAACAAAAAGAAGGTTCTCCCCAACATGGTCTTGGTTCCTGAGGCTCCTGTTACCTGCTCTGTCACTGTCAACACCCCAGAACTGCCTGGGGGCTGGGCAAAGAGAATGAGGAAACGGGAAACATGAGGAAGAATGTCCCCCACCCTGTGAGTTTTAGGAGCTCCCTTTCCTGCTTCACAAGCCAGAACTCCAGGCTTTTCCCTGGATCTCTCTGTCTGCACCACACACAGTGCTCACTTCCGGTTTTCAGGCCATGCTGAATTTAGGCCAGGAGATCCCAGAGGAAAAAATGCTAAACTCACTGCCGGGTCAATGGTACTATGAATTCTAGTTTTCTTCCCTTATCTTCCTGCTGCTATTTATTTCTCAGAGTCCTCAAATGGCTGTGCCACGCATCTGTCCAGGTTTCATAGTTACACTGAGTGGGAGAGAAAGGGCGGTGGTGTGTATTTATCTTACCAAGAGCCAGACCTCTCTGCCTAGTTATTGTTTATTATGTGCCAGGTACTATAGTTAAAAAATTGTTTGTTCAAGTAATTTGAGGCTGAGAATAATGCAGAACAGATATGTTTGATTCTACCTAAGGACACAGCACTCCAAGGTCACCTTCATGAGGGGTTGTGATGCTTTGAGAGGGGGTTCCTGTCTATTTCCAGCTGACCCTTCCTTCTACAGTGCAGGCCTTCAGCAGGGGCTCCAGCAAGGCCAGCCTCCTGGCCCTGGACTCTAAGCCCCTTTTCTCTAGGCTGGCAAAAGCAATGCTCAGCCTCAAGGCTCCCCCTACAGAAATCGGGAAATGCCCCCCCGGGGAAAAGTGGGCCGAAACTGGGCTCACATCCTTGGGTCCTCATCCTCCCCTGGGTCCTGCCTGACAGTTCTCCACTGTCATCAGATTTCTCTAATGCCTCCAGGCAGATGACTTTTATAATTTGTCCAACTGTTTTGGTTATCCTTATTGAATGGTCGATCCAAATTACCAGATTTGCCATCCCTGGAAGTGGTCACCTCTTTTTTCTGTTTATATAGATAAAGAAACTGGCTTAGAAAGATTTCCTGAGGTCACTCAGTGCACAGATGAAGAGCTAGGATTTAACTCCAGGGCGTGTCCTCTTAACCACCACACTATACTGACTCTACTAAAAATTAGCTTTATTTTTATAAGAGTTTGTTTTCCCAATTAATTGTGTGTGTGTATTAAAATCAAGAAGTAATATATGAATATATTCATATTTTTAAAATCGTACCATTACAGATACTAAAAGCGCTAGCTTCTCCTTTGTTTTCTCTTTACCAGAGATCACCAGAGATCACCACATCTCAGTTTGGTCTATGGCTTCACTGGGTTTTGTTATCGTTGTAAGCTGACCTACTCCCTGTGAGAATGAGTCTCCAAGAGTATAATGGGCGTCACTGGAAACACACAACATGAGATTAAAGTTGATCTGCAGAAATTTTTCATGCACGTATCATGAAGCTAGGTCAAGTTGTATAATCAACAGCTTCTTCCTCCCAAATTATAATGAATTAAACTTTAAATCTGTTCAAATTATTCTTTCCAGCCCCCTAAGGTTGAAGTCAAGATTTAACTGACAACCCCAAAGGGCAAGCTTGGTGGCAGTCTGCAGAGGTAGGTGCAGGTCAACAGAAGAGTCCCTCTTCTTTATGGACAATTTAAAGTGGGGGAATCTTAGCATCAAAAGAGACTTCCTCACTCCACCTCCAAAATAAAGTAAAACAAACACAGGAGTGTCCTCCACGGTAGCACCGCTGACAGATAAACCAGCACAGGGAAATGGACGGGGAAGCAGATAACATGAGCAGTAAAGGGGAGTGGGCTTGTTCTTTCAGCACACCTGTCCCATTCCTTTGTGTCACCTGAGCAGGGAGGAGTAGCAGGGCAGGCTCTGGAAGCAGCACATCTGAGTCTGAATACTGCTTAACTCCATAGATTCAGTGGAAAACAGGGATACAACTATAGCCCCTAAGCTGTCTGGGTTTCAGGGCAACTATGCACACAGGGAGCCCTGGTGGCACAGTGGTTAAGAGCTCAGCTGCTAACCAAAAGGTTGGCAGTTCGAATCTATCAGTCACTCCTTGGAAACCCCATGGGGCAGTTCTACTCTGTCCTATAGAGTCACTAAGAGTCAGAATCGACTCAACGGCAACAGGTTTGGTTTTTTTTTTTTTGGTTTATGCACACAGAGCCCCTCATGGCACCTGGCACACGCATGTGCTAGCAACATGTGCTGTGAGCACAGCTGAGGACCAGGGGCGATGCAGGTTGCACGCAAAAGGAGGCCTGCCAGGTCCGCCAGGCTGCTCATACCTTGGCTTGCATCCGCTCGCATGGAGCTGACCAGGGGTGGGGGTGAAGGCTCAGGCACCTCAGCCGCTGGGTTTTCAGCTACTGGACAAATGATGAACCACCTCTTTCCAGTATGCAGGACTGAAAGGCAGAACAGAGACAAGATCCACAGCACTGTAAGAGTGAGCTTCTCTTCAGGTTAACGAGATCCCTTACTGCCTTCTGCAGACTTGCCATGGAAGCTCTGTGGGAACTCTTTCATACTTAGGAGTTTGTCACTAAGGAGGCTGTGGGCAGGGAGCCAAAATGCTCAGCCATAACCCTGTAGACAGACTCCCTCCAAGAAACAGAGGTGGTTACCTAGACCTCTGCTTTCTCACCAGCAGGGGGCACACAGCCCGCCAAGGGACCTGTGCACCACCAGCTGGATACTCCCTGAGGGCCTCTGCCTGGGTTTCACTTCCTAGATGCCCCCAGCACCATCCTTGTGAGGGCAGGGATGCCGGCTGGTAGACCAGTGGACACCACCACACGGCCTGCATGCCACCACTTCCCCGTCCCCACTCACAGCACACGGGGCTCCTTGGACAGGGCAAGCTGTCCATGACGCGGGCAGGATCTGCTCCCCCATGCTCCAGGCAGCACCCCCAATTGTCTGGAGGTCATCTAATTCAACAACCCCCTTAACCCATGCAATGGTCAAATTCCCTTACAATATTCTCAACTGGTGGTTTTACTAAATACCTGCTGATAAACACAATGGCAGCAACTAATCCACAGAGAGAAGTGAAAATCACAAAATGCTTTTCTAAAGCCCTGTCTCATTTCATGCTGTAGCTGAGAAGGCTGACTTACCATTCTGCTGATAGACTGGGGCATTGGCTGGGGAGTGTCCGGTTTCCTAAACAAGGTAAAGGACTAGGAATCAGGACAGACTGTGCTAAACAAAAACTTTCTGCAGTTGCCCACTCTCCTAGCGCCCGCCTTGGCCCTCTAATTATCACTCAGTACTTAACAATGTGCGTGATCACTCTTGATATCTGAACCTATGGGGCAGGGGTTCCAGAAGGCACCATCATTATGCTAGCAACGAGGGTGGTACCTGGGCAAGGTGGAGACTGGCCTCGCCCCACCTGCATGTCTCCTGTTCCCCTCCCCTCGCCCCCAACAAGCCCCACTCCTGCACCCCCTCCACCCAGCCCAGCTACCACACACACAAGCAGCCAGTTCCTGTGCCCTCCTGGGTGCCAGCGCTCACTTCTCCCGCGTCCACACCATAGGCGCCGTGGTGTGGAGGGCTCGTGCCAGGGTCTGAGCCACGGTCTCCGTCCGTGTCCTCACTGAGCATGTCCTCTGCCTTGTCCATGATGTCTTTCATCTGCTCGATGAACGTCTCCTTCTCGGTCTGCAGGATGAAGTCATGCTCCACCTGTAGACATAGGGAGTGCAGCACATACCTCTGGCTCGTAAGTGGGGCTTTAGAACCAGTGGCAGAGAGCTATTTATGGATGATTTATTAGTTTTCTACTCTGCCTGGGCCCTGAGCAGGAACTGCCCCCACAGGGGTCTGAATCCAGCTTTCAGAGACTCACAGCAGGAGTGCCTGACAGCTGCACCAGAGAGGACAGGGAAGCACAGGCACTGAACCTCTAGGGTCCAGCCCAGGCAGTTCTCCCTGGGCACCCCTCCCCCAATCTAAAGAGGCCAGGAGTACGGGACACAGGGAGGGAAAGTACGCGTATGGGTGCCCAGCAGCAGGTATGGTCGTGGGACCAGAAAGACAGCCGAATGGGCTCACAGGAGCACAGGGTTACATGGAGGAGGGAGAGCAGGGAGACTCAGGAGGGCAGTGAGTGCCCAGGCTTCCAGAAATGCAGGGGGCCGGGGCTGAGGGCTGGGGACCAAGGAGCACAAAATAGTGCTAGAGACTCAGCAGGAAGGCAGGGTATGGGGCCAGCAGCAGGATGAGATGGAGTAGGGTCAAGGAGCTCAGAGAACTGGGGCGGTGATATAGAGGGAGGAGAATCGCCTGGAGCCAGGACACCAGGGACCCAGGGGCCCAAGTGGGTAGGGGAGAGAGGGTTGAGTGTGAAGTCACAAGGCCCAGCCAGCAGAGTTCAGGCTGGTGCTAGGGTGGGGCAGAGGGCAGTCAAGGCCAGAGAAACATCTGACAATCATCTCTGGGACAGCAAAGCTAAGGCAAGAATGGGCCAGTCTCCTCTCCTTGCCAGTATCAGTTCCCATGTGGTGGCCAACTTCCTTGTACCTTCTACCATCAGCCCACACAACCAGCCTCAGTCATCCAACCTGTGCATGCTGCTCGGTGTCCAAGCTGGCTAAGGTCCTGCATGGCTCCCACCACTACCCACCCTGCGCCCCGGCTGTGGGCTTGTGGCCAGATCCCTGTGTCCAGTGGCCCTGCCTGCCTCAGGCTGGAGCTCCATCCATGACCCCACACCTATGTTTTCATCAGATGTATTGAAATTGGCTTTCCCACGGGGTCGTCCACCTCCATAGCTACGCAGCTCAGACTAGATCCAAATGGAGAGAAAGCCATTTCCAGGGTCAGTGGGCAAGTCCACAGTGGGCCAGATGCCCCTGTGCTGGGCAGATGCAGCCTAGTGCAAACATCATGCCCAGGCCTCGCCTGTACTTTGGTCTCATATGCTGCCTCAGGAATGCATCACCCATGCCGCCCATGTGGCCTGGCAGGGCTCTGTCCCTCTCCCCAACCATCTGTTTCCACTCAGAGCGAGGCCTCCACATACCACGCCAGGGCTGTCCTTCTGTGTTCTGTGCTCCCCCCATGGTCATGGCCTGCACATGAGAAGAGACAGAAATGTCTTCTGCGACCTAGTCCTGAGACCATGGACCACCACGGACAACTCCAGCCTCTTCTGATGGACCCTCTTCCTATGGGATAGGCTGGCAGCCCCTACCGCAGTGTCTTGCCAGGCTCTGCAGGACACACCAGGCCCTCGGGCCACTCTGCTTGCGCCCCACTGGGCTGTATCCTTGGCCACATGGGCAGCCAGGATGCCACCTTGTCTCCCTAGCAGGCTCCATGAGGACTACCCGGCAAGGGGAGACAGCTCATCAGTAGGTGCTGGGTTATGGTACACGGATGTACTTCTGTGTCTTAGTGTAGCTATCAATTACGATGTTGGTCTAAGTTATAGGACCAGCCAGCGCCAGAGCACTCAGTTGTGGGATGTTGTGTAAAGGATGTAAGCAATTTTCCAACTTTATGAAAGTTTCATTAAATGAAACGAAACTAAAACTGAAAAGTTTTCCTGTTAAGTATTTCTTTTTAAGTACAGGCAGTCCCCAGATTACGAATGAGTTCTGTTCCTAAGTCTGTCTTTAAGTCAAATTTGTATGCATATTGGAGCAGTTAGGTATAGTTTGTATCTAATGTCAGTTAGTCAAGTGTTTGTCTTAGTATATAGTGTATCTTTCTATGCATAAAAAACATTAAAGAAACACTTCCAGATACACTAAAACATCTTTAACAGAGCGATACAGTAACAATGTTTTGACCTGTGTCACAAAGCAGTGCCCCCGTAATAGTACGAACCATTGTATATACCTCAAATTTTTAATATAATAGGCTTTATGGGGGTTGGTTCGTAACTATGGGTTGTACATAAGTCAAAAGTTTATAAGCCGGGGACTGCCTCTCCACAGAGATTATAATTAAGTAAAAAAACAAGAGAGAAAAACCTAAATGTATAGGGTATGGGTATATCCTGGAAACCAAATTAAATCCAAATGTCTACAGTCTCCCCTTTACCACAGGGAGCTTCCAGACTAAGATTAGGAAGAAAGGCCTGGCAATCCACTCCCCCAAATAAGCCAATGAAAACCCTACAGATCACAACACTACAATCCACAAGTGATGGCAGGGACAGTGAGGACTGGGCAGCACTGTGTTCTGTGGTGGCTGAGGTTGCCACCTGCCAGTGGCCAGCAGCTAACCACCACCACAAAGGGGCTCTCTCTGTCTCTCAGGACAGTACACCTGAGCTGGGCCCCTGCTTATGAAGAAGCTTTGCTTTGGAAGATGGTCAACAGGGCCGGAAGGCAGCTGTCTAAGTAGCAGCACACTCCATCAGTCAAACACCCGCTGCCCCAGCTTGGTCCCTGGGAAGCACTTCTGTCTCCTGGATGAGAAGAGAGTGAGACCAAGGTGGTGATGTCTGCCAGACCTCCACTCTGAGCCTCCCATGGACTGTCAGTTCATTGACTCAATTTGTGTACTGTTTATATCCTGCCTACTTCATAAAGGCATTTGAGATGACTGGGTTTAAAAATGCCCCCTACAAAGCCCACATGGCACATAAGAAAAAAATGAAGCAATGAAATTCTGAGTGAAAAGCCACGTCCCAGAAGATGCCAGTTTTACAAACCTCAGAACTAAAGAACCTTGTCAATTACTACATAGGGATTTGTGTGCACACACACATATGATACAGACACATAAGAAAAAATGTTAAAAGCAAGGGAATAAACAACATAAAATTCCTGCAGCAACCATGCCAGGGTGGGCACGGGAGCGAGCGGAGGATGGGAGAGGGAAGCACACGGGTTACGGAAACAGCACTAGGAAGGAACACGCTGTTCATAGTGAGCAATAGGTTTACATATACTCGTTTTTAATTATGCTTCATAATATATGAATGGTCCACAGTCCTTTGTGTGTTTCAAGTAGCACATAACAAACTTTTAAAGCAAAGCAGGATGAGAGAAGAGACCTTTTATGGTTCCAGAGGCCAGGAGAGCAGTGGGTGAGGTGACTAGTTGTTGGCCCTGTATATGAGGAAGCAGCCAGGCCACTGCGGGGACCCTGCCCCTGGCCTGCATGCCAGGACAGTTTGTCACAGTGACTGTTGTGGGTTGAACTGTGTCCTCCAAAAAAAAACCAAAAACTCGTTGCCGTCAAGTCGATTCTGACTCAGCAACCCTACAGAACAGAGCAGAACTGCCCCCAACAGTGTCTCCAAGGAACAGCCAGTGGATTTGAACTGCTGACCTTTTAGTTAGCAGCCGAGCTCTTAACCACTGTACCACCAGTCCTCCAAAAAGATACCTTGAAATCCTAACCCCAGTACTTTGAACATAACCTTGTTATGAAATAGGGTCTTCGTAGATGCTATCTGTTAGCTGACGTGGGGCCATACCAGAGCAGGGTGGGTGCTAACCCCTTCAGAATAGTGTCTTACAAATGAGGAACACAGACACAGGCAGAGAGAGGAAAGACAGTCACATGAAAATGCATCCATGAGCCCAGGAACGCCAAGGACTGCCAGGAAGCATCAGAAAGCTATGAGAGAGAGGCGTGGACTAGTTCTCTCTTAGAGACTCAGAAGGAACAGACATGGTCGATAACCTGATCTTGGACTCCCAGCCTCCAGAACTGTGAGACAGTCATTTCTGCTGTTTAAAGTCATCCACTTTGTGGTATCTCCTTACTGCAGCCCTAGGAGACTAAGAAGGAACAGAGAAGACACTGAACAATCTGAAGAACCTGCATGGGGGTTCCCTGCAGCACCCCGTATCAGTGCTTGATGAAAGCCAGGCAGGGTGACAGCATAGGTCTATAAAGGGCACTGGAGGGTGGCCAGAGGGATGTGGTCTGACATGGACTGAATTGAGTCCCCCAAAAATATCTGTCAACTTGGCTAGGCCATGATTCCCAGTGTTGTGTGATTATCCATCATTTTGTCATCTAATGTGATTTTCCTCCGTGTTATAAATCCTACCTCTATGATGTTAATGAGGTGGGATTATCCACAGTTAGGTTAATGAGGCAGGACTCAGTCTACAAGATTAGCTTGTGTCTTAAGCCAATCTCTTTTGAGATATAAAACAGAAGCAAGCAGAGAGACATTGGGACCTTATAGCACCAAGAAACGAGAGCCAGGAGAATAGCACGCCCTTTGGACCCAGGGTCCCTGCCCTGAGAAGCTCCTTGACTGGGGAAGACTGATGACAAAGACCTTCCCCCAGAGCTGACAGTGAAAAAGCCTCCTCCTGGAGCTGGCACCCTGAATTCAGGCTTCTAGCTTCCTAGAGTGTGAGAGAATAAATTTCTTTTTGTCAAAGCCATCCACTTGTGGGATTTCTGTTACAGCAGCACTAGATGACTAAGACATGGTCCAAGGGGCAGCTCCCTGGTGGCCTCCAAAGCTGGGCTGTTCAATATGGCAGCCAGTAGGCACATGTAGCAGGTTAAGTCAATTAAATTAAATTAGGCTTCCTGGACTGGCAAGAGCATCTCCTCTTGGGAGGTGGCATGTTCTGGGGACAATGGAAGCCTCACACCCAGACCCCTCCCCGACAGCACCCCATGCGTCTCTTCCTTTGTACCCTTTCTGGTTATAATACATGGGCAACTGTAAGTATAGATGCTCCCTGTGAATTCTGTGAGCATTTCCAAGGAATTAATGAACCCACATGGTGGGGACTGGGGGGCAGAGAAAGGCTGTGTGGGCCACCTGAAGGATAATGTCCTTTTAACTTGCGAGCTCCCAAAATGGCTCCAGGTGGCTGGGGTCAGAAAGATGGTGCTGCCTGGGGGGCTGGTGATGAGGATAGAGATGTGGGAAGGTGAGGACTGGACCCACTTCCAGTAGGAATTGGACTCATGCTGATCCTTACCACGCAGTTAGCAATACAGGCAGAATTTGCCCAGTGGCCCTTGTTTGGAAGCGCGCCTAGTCACACTAACCACATTTCAACAGCTTAACGGCCATATGGGGCTAGTGGCTACAATACTGCATGGCGTTGAACATTCTACTGGGCAGGCTGTTAGAGAATCTTTTAGAACACTCTTCCTAAACATCCCTCTGACGTGAACAATGGTCTGGGAAGAACAGCACCAGGTAGTGTTTACAGGTGCTCCTTAGGAAAGCATTTCATGGGAAAACACATATGTAAAACACTGGTGTATCCTTTTCCTCAGGATTCACAAACCATTAGCACATTTGTCTGTGTGTTCATTCAGCTGAATATTGACCGGGGGCCCACTATCCCTTCCCCAACTGGCGCCAGATCCCACAAGGAGCACAGCATGAGTGGTGAGTGAGGACGTGCTCTCAGGGGCACACTGGTGCACAGGTGGAGGACGGGGTCCTGGGACGAGGATGGGGATGGCGTCTGAGAGGCCTGGGGGTGGAGAGAGTAGGTGCAGACAGCAGTGCAGGGTGAGGACCAGTCAGGGCCCAGTCAGCACTCCCCTTGCACTTACGGGCTGGGGCAGAAGCAAAGGGCTTTAGGCAGGAAGGCTCCGCCCAGCTCCACCAAGGTTATCTGACCTTGACGTCCTCTATTTCTGAGCGAGAGGCTTAGATCCTCCTGAGCCATTTAGGAAACACCACTTAGAGCGATTAGAACATCCTTTATATTGTCTTCTCACCCCCAATGCGTCAGCAGAGCTTGGGGAGGAGCTGTTACGTGCGGAGCGCAAAGTCAGCACTCTCTGCCAGAGGAGATCCAGGAGCCCCAGGAAGCACCCATGGCACACCCACTGGCCAGCCAGCATCCCCACGATGTGGACACCACACTGGCCTGCCCCTGTGTGCCCAGAGAATACAGGGAGACATTCCCCAGCAAGGCAAGGCAGGGCAGTCCCTCTGAGCAGCAAGGCCAGGTGCCCAGCCCAGCCTCACCATGTATGTGGCGATCTCATCCGGGGCGTCCCCGTCCAGGTCAAACTTGAACGTCACCATCTTGTGGTTATGTGTTTCCAACTGGCACTCCACCATCTTGTCCCCTGTGTTGCACACCTAGAGGACACCCAGCTGGTCAGCACCCCAAGAAGGCACCACCCATCCACCCGTGCAGCCACGCCCATGCCACTCACGTTCAGGATGGTCAGCTTGGGCCGGCTGGCTTTCTCTTGACGGGAGCGAGTACGGGTGGACTTCCGGTGGTGCTTCTTAGAGGACTTGACTTCAAGCTTCCCACCTCCAAGGGTGACTTCGCAGCTGTCACTCATTTCCTTCCCAGAAGTAATATCGGAGCCCCCATAGCTGAGTGGAAACCAAGAATGTCAGTGCCACCCAAAGAAGCTACAATCAGGAAGCCTGGCATCGGGGAAACAGCCCAGAAGCTGTCTGGGTATGCTCAGTCTCCAGGGATCTGCAAGTGAGGGTCGCTGCCATGAGGACCCCAGGCCTGCCCCCAGGGCCTGCATTCCTTCTCCTGTACCGTCTCTGCATGGGCACCTGGGGGTCATGAGGAAACACAGGACCCTGGTCCTCCCATTACTGTCTGTGCGCCCATGTTCCTCCCAGCCTCACTGGGAGGCTGTGAAATGGGCAAATGTGGGGATTTAGAAAACAAAACCCCTCCCTGTGCCTCCATTTCCCCATCTGTGCAATGGGAACAGCAGCACACCAACACTGAGGAGGACATGACCGTGGCCTTTCTCCATAACTACCCCCAATAAGGACACTGCTCCCTCCCCCTAAACAGGCTCCATCCCTGGAGACAGCAGATGCCAAGCAGTGGAGGTGGGCTGGGAGGCCAAGGTTAGGCATACTCTACCCTTCTGGCCCTCTCCCTGCCGGATGGGCAGAGGGCTCGGGGCCCGTCCAACCCTCTGCCCAGAATATGCCTCAGCTCTACAGACCAGTGCCAGGACCCACAGGGGCCCAGAGCACAGAGGGGGTGTTTAATGACCAAACTGAATGAGAGAAACTCACCATGACTTTGCCAGGCAAGGCTTAAATAGGGGCTGACATTTGTTAAAAACCCTGATGGCACTGGGCAAACTGGAGCAGCAGCCCACCCTGGGACAGCCGCACGGCACCCCAGTCTACACGGCCTGGGCTGGGGCTGGCCGGGCAGCATGTTACCTCTCACAGCTCTGCAGGAGGCCCGGCTGCTTGTCCTGCACCGCCTGCTCCTGCAGTGAGAATGTGGGGAGAGGTCTCGTCACTGTCCACTCCACCTTCCCCTGGCCACAGGGCAGAGGCCGCCTCCCTCTGCAGGGAGACGACCCACCAATGTAAGGGCAGAAACCAAGCGAATTTCTAAAGCCCAGGCCGCATTATGCCACCTTCTTTTTGAAAACACAATTCCACTGTCATCATCCCTAAAGAGAACATTCCAGTCCTATCGAGGTGTCCGACAGGGCTTTGTGCCATCTGAGGAAGGCTGTTTTCTAATTCCATGTATAAAATGATGCTCTCCGTCCTCGTGTGGGTTTAAGAAGAGCGTGAGATCTCGGGGAGAGAGGGGAAGGTAAAAACAGCCCGTGGCTGTCCTGGCCAAGTCACACACATCTCTCCTCCAGCTGCATGTCCCCGACCCCAGATGCAGGGCCCAAAGGGGCCTGAGTCAGGTATGTGGGAGGCAACTGAGCCCAGCATGGTGGCCATGCCCCACAGGTAGCAGAGTCCATACCTCTTGGACTGATTCCACCGTCAACTGGACGGTGGGGCAGGGGGCAGCAACCAGGGCCCCGGCGGGCGGCGGTGGGGTTGCAGAAGGCAGGAGTGCAGTGGTCTTGGGGGGAAGGCTCTGCGCAGTCGCCACCATCGTGGAGGCCAGGGAGCTGGACAGCTGCGGCAAGAGCTCCGGGCCAGCAACCGGGGGCAGCAGCTCCAGCAGCGGTGGGGAGAGGACAGTTGTGGGCGGCCCGGGGACAGAGGGGCCCAGGGCTGTGGCGTCCACTGCATACGGGGCTGGGGGGCCCAAGAGGACCTGCAGGACAGGGACATAGATGCAGGTCAGGGCGGGCTCCCCTGGGCTGGGGGCTGCTACCTTCACTGAAGGGCCTGAGGGGCCACAGGCACGTTAGCAAGCACACACGGGGCAGGGACAGGGACTGCCCCCTTCAAATTAATCCCCCCAAAGTAAGTCCTTGTCATGGATTCAGCAGAAACAAAAATGGGCATTACAATATTCCCCTTTGGAATTGCCTTCCGCATTAGCGTAAGAATACCTAACACTGGACTCTGTCACGAATTTCTACCTAAGTCCGTGAGGATGAGGATGGCACAGGACCGGGCAACATTTCAATGTGCTGTGCTTAGGTCATCATTAGTTGGAGACCAACTTGACAGTAACCAACACTTCATATCAAAAGCGGGCTACCTGTCACCACCTTGACGGGCCGGGGTCACTGCTCGCTCCTGCCTCGAGGTCGGTGTGCAGCTGCGCAGGGACCCTGCTGCAGCCCCAGCTACACCCAAGACTGTTATAGAGGCCACTACCTCCCAGGAGGCTTAAGTGGAAGCTCATGCTTCATTTCCCCATTTTTCCTTCCTTTCTAAAAGCTGTTCAGGGACATATAAATATAAGATGAGCCAGGTGAAGACGAAGGCCCAAGGATCTGGACTTGCAAGGAGTCTTCCCCTCGAAAAACAGAGGTCCCGAAGGCACCCCAATTTGGGGCAGGAGAGGGTGAAAACTCAGAGCAGCTGCTCAGTCCCCAGACACGGGAGAGGACGCCTTCACTTAGGGATCCTGGCGTGAGACTCGGAGGTGGAGGGGACTAAGGCTGGCCACCGCACATCAGCACCCTGGCCAGCGGATGCCTCTCCCGCACAGGGCCAAGCTGCCACATCCAGGAAGCATCTGCCTTCAGCACAGGGAGGCCTATGGGGTGGCCGGAAACTCATCAGGCCAGGTCCCTCGCTGGCCGCCAAGTCTGGCCGGTGACCTCAGAGGTTCACGGCGCTCCTCAGCCCCAGGCTATGCAGGCAATCCCGCTGAGTGTGCCTGGGCAGGAGTGCAGGAAGGACAGCTACCAGGTCCTCCCAGGACAGGGGCGGGACAGCAACCCCAGCCCAGGGACACACAAGAACATGACCAGGCCTTGAGGCTCACGCCTCCTTCCCCCTGCCCTTGGCTTTCCTCTGAAAATAGACCTGACCTTAAATCCACTGACGTTTGAACTGAAGCCGAGGCCTCGCTCCCACCAGGCAGGCACTCAGTTATGGCACTGGATTAGTGCTCTTTCTGTAAACCAACGCCACCCTGGTGATCAGTAAGAACTGTTCCCTGTTCCTCTAAATAAGTATCCCTTCTGGAAATAAGATAGCAAGAGATGACTTTCAGGAGACCAGGAGTATTCGCAGCATGTGGGCAAAGGTACCTTCCCACGTTCTCTGAATCTTCATGACAAAATAAAAACGAGGCCATCAGTCCCACTTTACACTGTGGCTCAGAAAGGAAGGAACATGCCCAGAGTCCCACAGCTGTGAGGACTAGAACCGGACAGAGCCTGTGAGAGGGTCGCACACCAGGCCCCCACCCTCGAGGCAGAGCACCACAAAGGCAGCCCTCACCGCAGTGTGCCGCTCGCTCACCACCTAGCATGCAGTGCAAACGCAGGCCTGCTGCTACAGGCCAGCACACTCCTTCATGGTAAGCAGGCAGGGGCCACGGGCTCGCTCCACTGACACCCCAAGCCGTTGTACCTCTTGTTCCTGCCATACCTGCCCTTCTCACCAGCAGCACCAGCCCTGTGCGGTTCACATTAGGCAGATCCCCTTAGCTTCTAAGAGAAGACTGCCATTTGCCCACTGGGTGGTAATTTCTGAAAATGTGCTTTGGAAGGGACAGTCAGCATCAGCAGCTGAGAGCAGGTGGTACTGAGGCTGTGGGGCCTGGGCCACATGCTCCTGCCCTCCAGCCCAGATGAGGGAAGGTACCACCAACGCCAGGTACAGCCCTGGAACCCTCTGCCACCCAGCAGTGGCTACTGACTCTTGGTGAGGGCTTGTTAGCAGACACCTGTTGGCCACCCCCGTATCTCTGGCTCTTCCTGACACATGCTGAAAAGCGGAAGGAGCTTTAACTGGCTTCAGCCTCCGTCTTCAACACAGCTTTGGGGCAGTGCCTTGTCTCAGCCCTTCCCTGTCTGTCCCTGTCAGACGAAGGGCAAAGGGCCCAAAGAAGGGCAGGGGAGGAGGCCTCTGCCGGTTCTAAGGAAGGCTCCCAGCCCCTGGAGGGCAGGGCTCAGTGCTGAATTACCTGGGTCCCCGCCCCTGCAGCTGGAGCAGCCCGCTCGGAGAGATGGCTGATGCTTGGCTGGGGGTGCTGAGGAAGTGTGGGCAGCTGTGGGTGGGGTGGGGCGGGCTGCAGCTGCTGAGGGACCACCTGCAGGTTTTGAGCATGATGGGGAGAAGGGGGCACTTCACTCGGCACGATATGCGAGAAGGCAGCCGGGTACACAGGCTGTGGGGGCAGCTGGGCCACAGCAGGGTGGATGGACAAGGCAGCCACGCCCTGTGGGGCCACGGCCAGCAGGGGTATGTTGGTAGTGGTGCCTGGTGCATTTGGCACAATGGTCCGGCAGGGTACTGCCAGGGAGGGCAGTGGGGCATGGGGCAGCTTGACCCCCTGCAAAGGCAGGGCCGGAGAGGTGGGTAAGGGTGCGGTGGGGTTAAGGGGAAGGCTTGGCAAAATCATGGCCGGAGAGAAATACTGAGGTGGCGGCGGCGGCACGGGGGGCAGGCTGGCAGCTGGTAAGTCAGGGAGGGCTGGAGGGAGGCCGTCAGCCCCTGCCAGAGGGGTGACGGGAGGAATGACGGGAAGCTGAGGCATCTGAAAGAGACATAAGAGCAGATCATCACGCTCAGTCAGGCTACCACGGAGGCCACCACACCAAGCCTGCTGCACCTGTGGATTAGTGACTTCCTGGTTAGCTTTACGACAGCAATGAAAGACGGTGATAACGCAGAGAGGAGAGCACAGATGTCTGCCGCTGCGGTGCTTTTGTGTACTGCTGGAGGAAGGAGCTCAGACATAAACATGCAACTTAAATGGAAACGCCAGTGTATGAAACTATTCAAATTAAAAAGGAAAGTCAGAAGCTTCCAGCAGGAGCAGAACGCAGGAGGCACCTGCTGGGCAGTCCCCGTGGCCACACTGTGGGGCCTCTCACTTCATCCTGGCAAGACAGGCCACCTGGGGGCTTTGTCCTGAGGCGCTCAGGGGCAGCCAGACACTGGGGCCGTATCAGTGGCCACGGGTTCAGATGCCCTCTTGTGCATGAAGGGCAGGGCTGAAAGCGCCACCAGACTGGCTCCAAACAGCTGGAACCACCTCAGCCTCATGTCCCCCAACCTATATAAACTCATGTCCCCCAACCTATATAAACTCAAATTGAAACCAAATTCTTTGAGGGGTCTGTGGTGAAAGCATATCTTTGAGCACCCCTTTTCTGGCTGGGCTGATCCCCAAGTAGCTCCTGGACAGGGAGAGGGCAGGTTCGTGCTGGCAGGCATGCTCATCCCAGCCAGATGAGACCCCTGCTCCCACCAGAGGGGATGCCCAAAACCTTCCTTGCACATGTATGTTTTCTCAGCAATAACTACATATCCTTGGGAAATGTGACATTTGACTACAGCGGTTTTGCACTTCAAACGTTTTAGTAGGTTCTCTGACAGTTCTCTCTTTAAAATAACTTTTCTGGTGGAATGCACAAGAACGTCATGTAATCTACACCTCGGTGCAATTACAAGGCAGCAAAAATATGCCAGAGTCTGTGTGAAAAGCACCCCAAACAGCACGACCACTGACTAGCAAGACCATCACCTCGCTGGACATCTAAAACGGCCTCTAACTTCGTGTGAACATGGGCACAGCCTGGGTGACGCACGGCAGCTTTTACAAAAGAACCTTCTAAGTGTCGTAAATCACAGGACCTCGTGCTTGCCTTATGGGAAATCTCGCCTGCAGAATGAGGAAGTACTTGCTGTCCTACAACTGCTGAGCAAAACTGAAACTGGGGTACATGCGGGGAGCCCATCCATAGCCCTGAATGTCTATGAAATGTCTGCACTGACACTCGTCAGGCAGGGAGATGCTCCCACACCGATTAAATCGCATCAGTTGCATGCCATCAGACATTACTAGCATGGCCAGTGCTTCCCCACAGAGAAAACGTTAGACTGCTTTTGCAACCTGAATCTGACCCCCTGGTGACCAGTCTTCCCTGTGGTCAGCAATGCCGCTCAGTTTACTGCCCGACCTCCAAAGAAAGACACTCAACAGGGCCTTGGGTTTCTCTTATCAATTGAGTTCTGCAGCATGAACACATCATTTTAGGCCCATTTTCTGCACGGAGCTCAGTATTTCTGCTGCTGATCTTGGCACTGGACTAAACTTACTCCATGCCAGGATGCTCCTGGGGCAGATGCCCATGGTGTCTTTCAATGCCCTGATGATGGGCATGTTGCTGGCCGGGCATGGAGGTCAGGGGACTGGCCACTGGGTCTCTGCTCTCTATTGCTAGAGGAGATCTCCAACACAGGGACTTCCTTTTCCCTGAGGACCCCAGGCCATCTAGAACCCAGCCCACCACTCACAGCCCAGAAAGGCCGTACAGCCTAGAAGGAAGGTCAGAGAATGATCCACCCAGGCAGGAGAGAAGTGGAGACGGAGGATAGAAGAGAAGCAGCCCAGCCGAGGGAAACTGTCCTCGATGTTCTGGTGTGCACAGGTAGTGGGTGGGAAGGCAGAAGGCAGGGCTGTCTTTGCAGAAAGAAGGACAGGTGTCCACCACGTGGTGAGGTCAGGAGGTCAGGCAGTGTCCTGGGACGTGCCATGGTGCACGGCCCCATGCTGGAGAGCCCCACCCCACAGCCCTAGGCCAGACTGCCCAGGTTTCCATGCACAGACAGCAAGCAGGCCTCCGTGGTGGCCCTGGCATGCCAGCCTGGGTGGGGCATACCCCCTGGCCAGAGAGCAGAGCAAGTGGGGACAGAGGCGCATGAGTACCTGAGAGGCTGGAACTTGAGCAAGTGGTGGCAAGGGCACCTGTGGCATCTGGAGGGGCTTCAGTGGTGTGGGGGCCACCTGAGCAGCTGGAGGCAGGTATGGAGGCAGGTGCGGCGGCACCGGCTGGAGTGGGCCCAGGGGCTGCGGGGCCAGGACTGGCTGCAGGGGTGCTGGCCGGGCCAGTGGCGGAGGCTGGTGGGAGAGAACAGTGCATATTTTAGGCCGGCCATTCTGCCAAGACAGGGAAGGTATGCACCCGACCTGTGTAACCCAGAAAAAAAGTGAAAACACACCACACATGCCCACCACCAAGCAGACTCAAGCCAGCCTGGGGCCGGGGACACGGCCAATTCCCTGCAAGCTTCTAAACAGTAAGGCCGTGTAGGGAGCACCTGCCGTGTGCAGGCCCTGAGGCCCAGGCCCGGGCCCTAGGATGGGGCAGATGACAGGAGGAAGGGGGGAAAGGAGGGATGGAGGGAGAGGGATTCATGGGTGGGAAGTTTGGGGGGCGTAGTGCCTCCTCATACTTGTCTGTCAGCTCCTTTTCTCTGGTTCAAGAGTCCCCATCACCTCTCCCCAAGATTCCCAACCCTCTCCCGACACAAGCTGCCCCCCCGGTTACGCACACTCAGGGAGGCTTCTGCAGGTAGTGGCCATACGAGCGCCCATCCACCTCTGCCCACCCAGCCACATGCTACAGAAGACAGTAGTGTGCACTGGCTAGACAACCCTGCCCTCAACAATGTGTGAGACCGCCCCAGCCCATGAGGGCTGTTGGGCAGTTGGTCCGGAGAAGGGGCAGAGCCCACACTTACCTGCTGGCTGGGGGGCGGTGGCTGCCCCGAGCCCACAGGCACAGGGGTACTGGGCAGTGGCAGCAGGGGTGCGAAGCTCATCGCTGGTTCCGGGAAGTGCTGCTGCGGGGGTGGGCCAGAGCCCACAGCCAGGCCAGGCTGCAGAGAGGGCCTGCTCAGCACCGTTCTGCAGAGCCCCCAGCCCCAAGCTCCACCACCGTGGGGCCAAGGGGTCTGGCGGGCGAGCCCACCCCTCACCAGTGACACTCCTCCCAGGGGCATATCATAACGCTGCAAAGCTGCAGAGCAGAGCATCCGCTTCCAACAACCAGTGTCCTGGTGCATCAGCCCGCAAGGGACCAGGCAGCCACGGGAGCGGAGTTATGGAGACTTTGTTGGGCCAAGGAGAAACGCATGTCCTTGCACCAACTAGGGGAAAGGACGACAGAGCGTGCCTGCTGCGCAGAGGGCTGCAGCTGCACAACGGTGTGCACAGCCAAGCATACGTGGCGCGGGGAGGAGCACGTGGGCAGGGCAGTGAGGAGCAGGCCGCACAGTGCGCACACCGGTGGGGGGGCTGCGGGACGGGCCCTCAGTGAGCACACCACCAGAAGCAGGAGGGAGGGCGTGGCTGGAGGCTCAGTGTGAAAACTGAGAAAGAAACGGACACGTTGGGATGGAGGCCGGGTACTTGGTAATACTAAGCAAGTGCTGTTGGCTTTCCAGGTGCTGTGGTTTAGTTCCCTAAGAGTTCCATCACTTGGAGACACACACTGATGAGGAAATGCCCTCCTGTCTGGGACGGGCTCAGAATGTGAGAAGAGGAGAAGTAGGCGGACACAGGAAATGCAACCGAACAGGAGCTGCAACGTGTGACACTGGCTCATGGTCTTCCGTATCTACAATGGGAGCTCTCTCCCGGAAGGTTTTCTGGATGCAGTGAGTGCTGGTACTTCCCACACTGCTATCGCGTGTTCACCTTGCACAGCGCAGGCTGGTGACAGCAGCACAGGGCGAGGCAGAAACAGCAGGTGCACGGGGGGTCAAGCCTCTACACCGGACTCATCCGCAGCCTTGGGCGGGATGCGCCGCGCCCCAGCCGACATGGCTGACCATGCACCCTCGATGTCAGCACCCGGCGCCATGGGCAGAGCTAGCCCCAGCGGTTGCACAGCCCGTGTGTGCCTTGGGGTGGGGGTGGGGGGCTTCTGTGTTCTCTCCAGGACCCCGGCACCCGTGCCCCCCACCGCACTCCTCCTCCTCTCCCTTTCCAGTGGCCTATCACTGCAGCAACTGTCCCCCACAGGACAGGCATTGCCTGGGGAGAAAGAGAGCTTCCCACAGCCCCTATCTGCTCTGAGGACCGCTGCAGGCACTTCCTGAGAACAGGCAGGGTGCCCTGCCCCAAGACCACTTGTGGCATGTCAGGTCCCGTCTCTTCACCCCCTGGCTCCACTAAGCCCTCCCCTGAGAACCTGCCAAGGAGGGACCATGCTGCGGACGCCCGGAGGAGCGCCTGCTGCTCTGGTCACAGAGCCCAAGCCCTGGGCTTAGGAGGGTGAAAGCAGGTGGATGGCCTTGTTCAGCCCTGGCCTGTGTAGTCCTTACAGCTAAGAACAGCCATGTGGGAGAACCACTAGCCTTTCTTTCCTAAGTGAGCTCTCTCCACCATTTAAATTATGCTTCAGCTCACTCTGTGACACGAGCAGTGTTGCCAATGCCTGCTGACTCCTGGGGCTCAGTCAGCAAAGGCAAGCGAGACAGAGCTGCAGCACCTCCCCAAGGGACCTGCCATACCCCAGCAGGCAGGAAGGAGAAAGGGCCGTGGCAGGCTTAGGACAGCCAGGCCAGGGAAGACCCCTAACAAGCTCCTGGAATGGCTGGAGACAGCCTGATCTCACCCTGATGACTGAACAGGGGGATGGCAGGAGGTGGGCAGTGGTGGCCAGCAGAGCTACAACGCCCTGGGATCAAGACAGTAAAACAGTCCACAGCAGTGAAAGGTATGCATGAGAAGCGGAGGAACAGGAAGGCCTCACGGGGGACCTGGTGGGGGCGGAATCTACACTGCAGCCCCTGAAACCTGGGCCTGGGGGTTGGGAGGGGTGACATCTAAGTCACCCTCAGGATTTCCTCCAGCGACCTGGAGCTCACGAGTAACTGCTCTGGGGCTGAGTGCTTTGTAAACTGTGAAGTGAGTCTTCCTTTCTTTAGAGTTAAAATAGAAAAATAAATGTCAAATGCCACCCCCTTCATCCAGCAGTTTCCACTTTCACCTACTACGCTTAGTCTTTTCCCACACCATACCAATTATCCCACAGATGAAATCACAGCACGGGGCACTTCCGGCCCCACATCTCCACCACTCTCCCAGGAAGCCTTCCCTGCTCTCTGCCATTTCCATGCTGTTTCGCCAGGTGCACAGTATCCAACAGAGAGGAGCTAAGAGTTACTCAACAGCCCCTCAGCTGGACATCAGACTGAACCTAATGCCTCACTACCATAAGTAACACTTTCTTGCCTTCCTTTGAGTCATCTGAGGTCACCTCTTAGGCAGAGACGCTTTGGGTTGGAAGGGAGGCACGTTGCTATGGTTCATGCTAAGTGTTGCCAACCAGCCCTCATGACTCACTTGCCCCCAGGTGGGACCACAACGTCACAAGCCTGCAGATACCCGAGGTGTGTACTTTGACACTGTACTTCTTCTCACCCAGCAGGGCTCTGGGCCACTTGAGTACTTGCAGGCCACTTCAGTTTGCTGATGTTTAGTGACCAGCAAAGATGGGCCTTCCCTGCGTCTTCTGCCTCTGCTTCTCTCCCTGTGGGAGCCACAGACCTTGAACACAGGCCAGCATCCCCCACCCCAGGCACAGTGGACAGGAAGGGGTAGGTGACTCACCGTAGCGGGCTGCTGGTAGGTGCTCAGGGCAGGCAGACTGCTGGGCAGGCCGGGCCCCTCGCTCACGGGCGGGCTATAGATGCAGGGCAGGGTGTCCGGGAGGGAGCTGTACACCACGCTCTGCTGGCTGCTCTGGGAGTCCGAGTACACGGTGGAGCCCTGGCCGCTATCAAAGGTGCTGTCCGCTGCGGGGGGGGAGAAGACACGGCTTGGGGCCCTCCCAACATCACCCCGCTGTGGGGGGCAGAAGGCACAGCTTGGGGCCCTCCTGACATCACTCCACCGCGTGGGGCAGAAGGCTTGGCTAGGGGGCCTCTCAACATCACCGTGCTGCGGGGAGTGGGTGGTGGGCAGAAGGCTCAGCTTGGCTCAGGGCTCTCCCAACATAACCCCGCTGTGAGGGGCAGGAGGCTCAGCTCAGGACCCTCTCAACATCACCCCACTGTGGGGGGCAGAAGGCTCGGCTCGGGGCCCTCCCAACATCACCCCGCTGGGGAGGGCAGAAGGCAAGGCTCAGGGCCCTCTCGACATCACCCCACCGAAGCTCTTCACAACAGCACCACACAAGGGTAAAAAATGGAAATGCTGGCCCAGACACTACCACTTGGCTGGTCTGTGCATTTTTTCCCATAAAATGAAGATGGGGTTGTGTTTCTAGATTCCATAAATAATATACCCATGTTGTTCTAAACAATCACCTAATACAGAGCAGGTTGCGGGGGGGCGCTGCAACTGCACCCCACAGAGATGATCTCCCACTGGGGAAGAGCCTGCAGGCCCCCTCTGACCTAGCCCGGCTCCCGGGGTGTCCAACTCCTCCTCAATGCCCCCATGGGGCAGGAATGACATTTCCATCATGACCGCCCTGCATTCTCAGAAAGGCTGGCCCGACTCTGAAGGGGAGCACACACCTGAGCTCTGAAGAGGCCCAGGGGACACTGAAGGGGCTGATGGAATAAAAACTTTTCACGTACATTTTATAACTGGGGGAGGGGTCTCAGCACTCTCACTTTTGTCACCAAATGAGGCAAACAGCATGAGGTCGGAAGACCTGGGTCCAAATTCAGACCCCTCACGGCCACAGGACCTTGCCTGGCTTGGATACAGCATGGGTGGGCGAAGTCTCTGCCCCATGGAGAGGCTGTGAGAGCAAAAGCTGTGTGGGGATATTGGGGGCCAGAGCCAGGCACCAGGAGTTCACAGCCCAACAGGGTGGAGAAGCCCAGCTGTGTGGGGAATCTCAGGATCTAGAACCGGGCACCAGGTTTCCACAGCCCAGTGGGGTAGAGGGGTCCAGCTTTGTGGGGCTCTCAGGGGCCAGAGCCGGGCACCAGGTGTCCACAGCCCACCAGGGTGGAAGGGCCCAGCTACGCGGGGATCTCAAGGGCCAGCACGGGGCACCAAGTTTCCACAGCGAAGGCAGCTTACTCCCCTTGGCTCAAGCCCTCACTAGCCCAGCGAGGTGGACAAAGAGGCACACACACAGAGCCCCCTCCCCCAGCCAATGGGCTCATTCCCCATGACATGCCCGGGAAAACTGCTCACCCCAACCGTACATGCCAGAGAAGATGAGAAAACATGTTTATAATTGCATTTTTGGTTCACTCTTTCTAGATTCCAAAAGCTTCACAAACATTAGGATTTGCCACCTAAGAATACTGAAACCTGTTGCTGTTGAAATTTAAACTGTGTCCCCTGAAAATATCTGTCCACTGGGTTAGGCCACGATTCCCAGCATTGTGTGGTTGTCCTCCACTTTGTGATTGATGTAATTTTCCTATGTGTTGTAGATCCTAATCTCTGCCTGTGGTTAATGAGGCAAGATTAGATCATGTTAAAGAGGATTAGGGTGGGATGTAACACCCTTAGTCAGGTCACATCCCTGATCCAGTGTAAAGGGAGTTTCCCTGGGGTACGGCCTGTACCACCTTTTATCTTACAAGAGATAAAGGGAAGCAAGCAGAGAGTTGGGGACCTCATACCACCAAGAAACAAGAGCCAGGAATATAGCCTGTTCTTTGGACCCAGAGTCCCTGTGCTGAGAAGCTCCTTGATCAGGAGAAGGTTGATGACAAGGCTCTTCCTCCAGAGCCGAGAGAGAGAAAGCCTTCCCCTGGAGCTGACTTCCTGAATTTGGACTTGTAGCCTCCTAGACTGTGAGAGAATAAACTTCTGCTTGTTGAAGCCATCTACTTGTGGTATTTCTGTTATAGCAGCACTAGATGACTAAGACAGAATTTGGTACCGGGAATGACTCATAGCGACCCTACAGGACAGAATAGAACTGCCCCATAGGGTTTCCAAGGAGTGGCTGGTAAATTCGAACTGCTGACCTTTTGGTTAGCAGCCGAGCTCTTAACCACTATGCCACCAGGGCTCCTACAAATAACAAGCTACTTCCAAGAGGTACTACATTTCAGATGTCAATATTGTGTCCATTTATAATTAAAAGAAAAAAAGAGAAATACTGTTGGCTTTCCATTAAAATAATTTTTCCCCAGTGATTAGAACTCACTTTAATCCAGACAATATGAGAAATGTGGAGGGGTAATTGTGCAGACCCAATTAGACTCTGGTTTTAATGAGCTGACCAGTATCACTCACAGAGAGGGGGCAAGGAAGAGGCTCATTTTAATTTTTATAAAATGAATACAGACATTACGATGTAATTAAAAATTAATCTTAAAAATTTATTTTTAGCAATCGACTGACAAAACCGTGTGGTCTCAGTCAGCAGGTGTCTGATGGAGCACAGCAGAGACAGCGGACAGCCCTGGGGCGGGGCAACAGAATCGCCAGCAGAAAAGCAACAGTGGAGAGTCGCAACAAGCGACTTGTATCTTAAGACATATAAATATGTATCTGTTTGCCCATCCTGTAATAAAGACAGGCCTCTTTCTCTGACTGTGCATCTGCAGTCTGACGTTTCCTAAGGTCGCCCCTATAACGTACACCATGGTTCTTCACTGGAAAAGTACACTACCAGGAAAAGGGAGGAGGACAGTCTCCACACTCTCACGTGGAGCAATGAGAACCAGGTGCAGAAGACAGTGTGTCACGTACTCTCATTTGTGTAATGAAGGCAAAGAGAGGTGTGTGTGCATGCGTGTGTGTGCACGCGAGTGTATATGTGTCGTGTGCAACTGTGGTGTGTGTGAGCATACACGTGCGCGTGTGTGTGTACGTGTGTGTGGGAGGCTATCTCTGGGACGGCATGTAAGAAACTGGTAACGTCAGTTGCCTCTGGGGAGAAAAATTAAGTGAATTTTTATCATATGCCCTCAGACTTCTTGAATTTTATACCATGTGACTATATGATCTGAGAGGTTTGGCCACAGGACTGAGGTAACATCGAGGAAGGATGCCTTGGAGGCAAACGCCACCGCCGAGAGCAGCCAACCCGCTCCTTCCACTGATGGCTGCATCAAGGATGGAGCAGACACCCCCCAAGTGCTGCTACCCCGTGCTGAACTCTGTGCCCCCGTGGCCCCCACCCCCTTCCTGTGAGGCAGGGACGATTAGCATCCCTCAAGGACAAGGAGCCTGCTCCAAGTCCACAGGGAGGAAGCGGTGGATCAGACTGCCCTGTCTGGACACAGGAGCACAGGAGGTCTGCACCTGGCTGCATGCTGGCCCCTGCACCCTGGTGGGCTTTGGGCCATCTGTCCCGAGAAGCTGGACTTCCGTGAGCCTTACAGTTCCCTGGTCACACTGTGACATGAAAGGACAGTGCCCGACTCTGTGGGGGCTGGACACTGGGCCGAGAAACTAGGCCTTCATATCCCTACTTGCTGCCTGTCCTTCCAGTCCCACCATCCTCAGGTGTCCACGACAGTCTCTGGCCCTGGGATGCTGATGGGAGAGTGGGCGCCACGGGGTGCAGGAGGACCCCTCCACCCTGAGCTTACTAGGGACGCCCACGGCCCAGACTTTATGTAATTCTGCGAAGCTTCAACCATTACACTTCAAAGCACACTGCTGATCACCCTCCCCACAGAGCACCTGAACACTGCACAGAAAGAGGACTCAACTTTTCTTTGCCAAAGGCTGCTTGTCACGGCCCCAAGGGGCCCCCACATTGCAGGCCCCGAGCCCAGCTGGCCTGTTGCAGGGAAGACTCACACGTGAGGGATGTGGCGCTTGCCGGGAGCTTGGGTGGGAAGAGGTGCTGGTCGGCCTCAGGCTCCTCGGGCTCCGGACGCCCGCCCTGCGTGTGGTATGTCACCTGGACCTGCAGTGGCACCTGGGGGCCCCTGGTTTTGTCAGGGATCTCGGTGGCCTGTGACTCTGAGGGCTGCAGGGCAGGCCAGATCCTCTCCCGCCGCCACTGGATCAGTGCCACCCGGTCTCGGATTGACTTTGCCACGATCTTCATATCACTCTCATGGAAGAATCCAGATTCAGTCTGCAAAGGGGCCACCGGGCTGGTTAGTGATGCAGGAACCACAGAGCCCGCCCCTGTCCACACATCCCATGCTGGGGTGCCTGGCCCTGCTCTCTGCATGGTGGCTCTTGCTCAAGGGGTTCTGCCTCAGACTCCCTCCTGGAGAGGCCTCCCCATCTAAAGTTTTATTGTTCTTTAACTGAACACAGGTGTCCATGCAAATATAAACAAACATAAATAAACGGAAAGTTTGATGAAAAATGGTACACTGACATAGTCTCAAGATGCCTCCTCAAAGAACATTTATTCATTACTAAGGGGAAAGAGCAACTTCACAGTGGAGAAGGTGGCAGACACCACCTCAACCAGCAGGTCACCGGGAGCACTCTCAGCAGTGGGACACATGGACACTAAATGCCATCAGGAAGGACGCAGTGAGGACCCCCCCCCCCCAATGCTGGGAAATTCCTGCCAGAGACACACACCTGAGTGTAGTCAGGAAGCAACAGAGAGAAAGTCAACCTGAGAGACAGCCCACAGTGACTGCCTGTGCTCTGCAGAGTGTCAGTCAGGAAAGTCAGAGACTAAAGAGACAACCAAATACACGACATGACTCTGAGCTACCTAATCAGCAAGATCTGGCTGGGGTGTGAGGACGAAGGGCAGTGAGGGTCTCTGCTCACTTCCTGATGCCGACTGCTGATGGAGATGCAGGAAACCATGCCTGTCTGTGGGACCAGACACTAAAGCAGACGTTGGGGGACGGGATTAATTAATTTATTAATTA